ATAACTGAATAACATAAATTTTTTTATGCTAAGACGCCACTAAGAGGCAGAATTAGGGTGCGAGAAAAAAATCATAAACTAGTGGTGCTAGAAATGGCACAGACTTTCCCGTATTAGTTTTCTATTTCCTATAATTTCGGCTAGCTATTCGAACTTGCCACATTTTTTTTGAAATTTTCTTAATTCTTCGATTTCGTAACAGGAGAATGCAAATATTATTTTAAGAATATTACAGAACAGTAAAACCTCGTCATAAATAGGTACTTAATGTGTAAATTCGATATTTGATGTTCTTTTTCACAGAAATTTCAATTTGATTTTCCGAAAAACATATTTTGAAGTAATTTTATGATCTTTAACTCACAAATACAATTGTGTTTACAAATTGGTGGAAATGTGCATATCACCGGCGTGAGAGGTCTTTCACAAAATTTACATTTATTACATTTGTGTATTTTTTTTAAAATACACTGAAATGAACTTTACGTCACATTGCAACAAGATTGCAATTAACACTATTCGTTCGAAATGTTTGAAGAAAAAATTTGGACCCGTGTTTGAGAAATGACGTTTGATCATTTCTGGAAATGTGGAGTTTTGATCTAGTTTTCACAGAAAACGGCAGAGTTTTCGAGAAACTTTATCTGACATTATTTAAAGCACATGTACTAATAAATACAGTAATGTGAACAAATTGCCGCTAATATAAATAATCACAACATAAGAGGTAAGTCAAAAAATACAATGTTTACTTTTTGAAAAAACACAGGATAGAGCAATATGGAGTTTATGTTTTCTTATAGAGTACATTTAGCACTATTCCTACCAAAAGTTTAAAGAAAAATATGGAGCCTTTTTTGAGAAAATCGTTTTTGTATTTGTTTAAAAATTGTACATATTGGAGGCAATTTTCCGCGAAAACTACTATCATTTTCAAAAAAATGTACAAAACCTTAATGAAAGAACTGACTATGGAGAACAAATGTTATTTGAATTAAACATCTCTTATCTTCAATTCTGTAGTTGTAGGAAGACACCGAAAAATATTCATACTTTTGAAATTTTCTTTGAAAAACTCTTAGTTTTCCGCGAAAATTGGACCTATGCCTATGCCACCCTTATTAGTGTATGTTAATCTATTCTTAAAAGAAATGTAAAGGAAAAAATTGGAGCCAGCTTCGAAGTTCTTACAAACTTCTATAGAATTTATCGGTAGAAAGAGTTTAATGACACCAACAAACAAGTAAATTTATTTTGTCATTCGTAACCACATTCTTTACTTCATAACCTATTTTTAAAGTCATTCATAACTATAGTAAATAATTGATGACCAAGTTTTGACTCTTGTGGGATCCCATAAGTAGATGTAAAGGGATAATACTGATACGTAAAATTATCAATAATTTTCAAGTAATTAGAAATTTTAAGGAAAATAAGACATACACCATTCTCTTATGCGTCACGCTATCCGACGACAAAATTTTATCAAAAACATTGAACCTAATTTTTTGCAAAATTTTTAATATGTCCCAGGACTTCATGTAATGTTCACTCCCAAAATTAAAATACCAGTTTCAAATTCCAGAGACCGTGACATCAGGCAGATCGATTGCGAATTATCAGTTTTGGAGATCACGCCAATGATATAAGGATACTCTCTTAAAAATTGTTTGAGCAAGGAAAATATGGAAATCACAGTGTACAAGCAGGATAAATAGGACACTATAACTTTAAATAGAACTGCGTTTTCTGTATTGGAGTTATTAGCAGTATTTAGTACATCGATGGACTCTCAAAATATGGTGGGCGCAAAACATGTGTACAAGCTACATGTCATGTATTTAAATTTCTCTAAATTAACTGCCGTTAAAAATATGCTACAGGGAGTTAAAAATTTGGAAATCAGAAAGTTTGAGATGATGAATTTAAGAAAAAGGAAAACAGTAATTAAAAACTCCGACGAATGTTTTGTCGTTCTCTTTCGATTAGCTTGTCCTATTATCGTTTTTAAGTTGTGACCCCTAAGATTACCACTGAATTATTATTGGCTGTACTGTCGTTAGCATTTTCAAGAGTCATACGCTCACGGACAACCTTTATCAAAGAACGTCACGGTTAATGCTAGAGCCATAGTCTACTATGACAAATTGCATTCTTGACTAAGATAATGCACTTCTAGTTTGGTGATAAATTAGATGGTGAATAACAAAAAAATCCATTTATAGGGATAGCTATGATGACCCTGTAAACTACTAACTCTGTGATATTATAACCCTTAAAACACATAAAGCAAAGGTTCTGGAAGGCCCTCCGCACGTCAGATCGATGGAATGTATTCCTTGGGATGATCCCCTTAATATTCAATAAACAGGTGTAATTTGTGATGTATCATTTTATTCTGCTTTCACAGTCTCATGGACTCCCACATCGTTCCTGTATGATATATCATTCTTCCGGATTTTTTTTGATTCGCTGATAACCAGTCAATCGTTTCTTATGTCCTTACCACAGCATTCTTCAGTCTATAGATTCAGCGGTTGTATCATCCTTCTAATAAATGATGTGATACTTTCTATTAACTGTTATAAGTAGTCATCAATATAACATAAAAACAAATAAAACTGTTTTAAATTCTAAAACTCTTGGTAAATCTTAAAGGAGCAAATTAGAAGCTCGAACTCGAAGCCCGTTTCTCATTTTGTAGATAATCCAACTGTTTTCAAATAAGCAGCTCTCTTACAGTTATAATTATTACTATTAAAATTATAACTATTCAATATTTATAAATTATAGAAACATCACATTTTTCGGAAATCTCTAATTCTTTTACACATTGCATTGCGATTGTTCTGGTAAGTTTCGTTGTCAATATTGAACTAGCTGAACGTTTTCGAAACTTTCGCATATATCATTCGAATTCTATTTTCTACTATACTATAGTACATATACATATAGTGCGTATAGTATAAGGAGGAAAAGTGTTGGAACCACCTCAACAATACGATCTCGAACTTAAGGTTCATAAATTCCGTGTTTAAGGTTTTTTAAGTAATCCACGTGTCAGTATTAAGGTCTAGTGTCCAGTCGAAGACGTTAAAGATTAATTCAGGTGGTGATAAAAAAATCGAAAGCGTCATGTATTATCTGAGGATATGAATAAGTTAAAGATATTTCATTTTTTTTAACATACATTAAATAATTTATGTAGTAATGTAATAAAATATTTTTATTTCCATCTGCATCCTCAATGCTTTTTACACTCTATTAAACATCTCTCTTAAAAAATTAAAGAAATTGCAATAAAAACTTGAAGAAAAAATAAAATACGATACTTTTATAAGATATTACGGAAATATTTACAATTATTATACGGAAATATTAACTATTTGATATTACGGAAATATTTACTATTTGATATTACCAACGAACGATAATTGTAGGATACCATGATTCCATTTTATAACTTGGACGACGACATGGAGAATACGAAATAATAACGATGCGATTGTAAAATTAATATTCTTTTCTTCTAGTGTTAATATATTTCATCCACTTTGGTTAGGTAAAGTAAAAAATTATGCCATTGTAATCAGTTTCGTAATGGAGAACTTTACCGCTCTAGTGTGGCAAAGTACTTCATTACCACAGTAGTGCGGTAAAGTAATGGCGGACTTTGCCACTCTTCCTTTAAAAATATTTTGAACATCTTTGTCTTGTATCCTACATTTTCCCATCAAAAACGCTGAGTAAACGTACTGATATCAATGTTTTCCTGGCTGTCCGGTGTATAATACCGGACACGCAGCACCGCGATGTCTCTGTACTGAGGAAGCCTGCGACTTGACAGACGTCGGCCTCACAGCCAACGACGCGGCGACATCCGGACAGCCAAGAAGACATGGACTCGAGCCGCGGAAGCTTACGTTTACAACTAAGTTATGTTGTTTTTACTTGTTCAATAGACCTAAAAAGGAATGACGGAACTTTGTTATTACCTAAATAAATTATTACCTCCTAAATACCTTTATTTACTTCTTATATTACTTACATTTCTAGATATTTTTGTGAACAGTATAGAAATACTTGTTTATCCTCGAGATTTCACTCTTCACTTTCAATGGGTGACATTCACTGGATTTAAATCATTTCTTTACTTAAAAATTGTTCAAAGGTTCTTTGCATGTTGTTTTAGTTACATACATAAGGAAATTAATTAATATATACATATAAAAATACATATATACCTATATAAATACATATTTAACTATATAAATACATATATACCTATATAAATACATATATACATACATAAATACATATATAAATACATATATATTATATAAATATACTTTTTGGTTAGATTTAGTAGAACGATACTATATTTCAAATTGTAAGGCGGCGAAGTATTCCTTGATCGCCGCGTGGATCGGTAGAGTCCGTGACCAACACGTCGTCATAGGGCATTTAACACGGAGCTGCGCAACTGATTAACTACGTATACTGTGCTATTAGAGTAACTCAATATATCTGCATCCCACAGTTATGCGCATTGTGCATGAACTGAAAGTTTTGAACGCCAGTCTTCGTTCGCTGACATTGAAGCACAAGTCGCGGGAACTTCAAAGGGGTACGCAAGTCACTTGGTCATTATGCCCAGGAAAATATTATTACACACTATGATTCAACACAAACTTTTTTTTTTAGTTTGGATACGCCACTTACTGCAACATAATAGGAAACTAATTAAGCACTTTCCGCACGCACATCGAAATCGCGCTCATTATCACTGTTTGTTTTGCTCTTAACTAATGCTGATAAATCTCCGGGATCTTGTTTTCCTCCCAGTGTCTGCTAGACCGCTCAGGTGATCTGATTACGCGATCAAAGAATATTGAAGTTGATAAACTAATAGACACCTAGACTTCACTAGTATCACTATCTTCACTAGTATTTATTAAACGGAAGGTATCAGTTCATCTTATTATGTAGGATATACTTACGTTTCATCGCACTTCATTAGTTGTTGTGTTGGCGCACTAGGTACACTGAGATACCTGAAAAGAGCACTTCCAAAAGAGTCAAAAATGTGAATTAATAATGAGCCCCTAATGATTCATATCTTCTTATAAAAATAGGTAAATCAGATGTTTGTAGTTATGTTTTCCCTTTAATTCATTCAATGAAATTGCTTCGGCGCTCGCGCTGTTTGATAAATCGCCCTCACTTTTTATAAGAATTTCTGTTACATGGAACAGCATTGTATTGACATGCACTTCCACAAGCACACTCGCTTTAACAAAAATACATTTGTACTACAGTTCGCCATGAACAATTGCAAATATAATTAAACGCCTCCTTAGTAAGCGTGACACAACAAACTTCCGATCAACCGAAACCCTTATGTATACTTTACCGAGTTCAATTTCACAGTTCACAATTTTGTGACGTAAATGCTTGAAAGTAATAAAACAACAACAAAAATGAGTTTAGTATTCTTTGTTTTCACACTCACGTTAACATAATATATACACCAACTACGTTATATAAATGAATATAGTGTATAAAACAATTGTTCTGTTAGATACGTGCGTACTACCTTACTCAATCACAGGTAAGTGGGCAATTGACCACAAATAACGCCTCAACGTAATCAATGTCTGCTCGTGCCCACTATCACTTAACACGACCGAAATAATAACCGCTGTGCAAAGCCCTCCTAGAGAGGCTAGGAGATACACAATCGACGTGTGAATATACATATCACCCAATACAGGAAGAGATATTCATTGTTCTACACTACATCGGTTTCTCTTTATTAATTTTTTAGATAACTGTAGACATGTGTAGTGTTTTTTACGAGTAGGTTGAGTGAGGCTTCAGAGCGAGAAGAAGATAAAAGTCGCTCTACAGCGATATCATAAGGAAAAGTTGCTAAAAATGAAATGCAATCATTCCGGTATTCTTTTTCCGTTTCCACAGGATGTCACACAGGAGTTCCAATTTAAAGCTTTTACTTATTCTGTCTTCTTCTGTCTTTACTTCCGATGTCTTCTTCACTTTCATTTATTTTTCCTTCTGCACATTTGTTTCCTTCATTTTCATAACTATGCATTCCCATTTCTGTACAGGCAATGTTCAGACCCTACCCGTCATAATGATCGAGGTTTTTCTGGGTTTATTCAATAGCTTTATGTGTAAGCAGGGAGGGTTCCTTGTTTGCACTCCATCATATATGGCCCCCCTCTATCTTAAATGTTTCAACCCGTGTCGCGTATACTATTTTTTATCACGCCATGAGCGAAACGCAATGCGGAAATGGTAAAGGAATATAAATTAGGTATCAAATAACTAGAAATACCTTACTTGTACAAAAGTAAATAGTTTCAAGCCAGTGACGTAACAATATTGTTTGTAAATAATAAACAATAAAATAAGTCAAGACGAAAGACAATTGCGAATCGTAACAGATGTTTCGCACACGCTTCGCGATGTTTCTCACACTATGAAAAATTTAGCTGTTTCGCACAGCAAGCACGAGGAATCGCGTTTCGCGTACGGTGTGTTAAAAACTAGTTTAAAAATTTATTTCATGTCAAAACACGTAAAACTGTGATTTTTTTAAATTTATTTATTTAACTCAAAATTGCCGAGAAACGTTCGTTTCTTTCTCAGAAAGAAAAATATGCGAAACAATTATATTTACGTTTCTCTCGTCTAAGAGAACAAGACAAATGTTTTGTACGTCGCCGAGTACTCCAGCATGAGATAAACTCTGTTAAAGCCACATGTTTTCAGAGCCAATCCAAGACAACGCGGCATAAGGAGAATGGAAAGGAACAGGGGATGGGGGCGACCAGACTCGGCCAACGAGCGTGAAAGACTTCCAATATGCTATGTTGAATGTCTCGATTGGTTCTGGGCACGTTATCAGCTGTCGTTAGACTCGTAAGTGTAGTACGTTTTTATCGCCGACTGTGGCGGTGATATTCCCTCGGTGGATGGCGAGATCTGGCGCCGACATACCCATCGTTTTCCCAACCAGGTATCTCCCACCAGAGGGGCACCCCTCCAGCCGAGACAAGTCGTAAGCTACCAACTGGTATCTAGTTATGTGCGGTAGTGTAGTACATGTAAGTGTGTGTAAGTAAAGGGGGATGATAGGACAAGGAAGAGGAACGAAAGATCACGCGCGATTCATGGCCCGTTTGTTAATGTACTGCTTCGGCATTCGCCTGGTTTTGATGGGAGAAACCACGGAAAACTACCGATCAGAGCAGCCGTCCTCTAGAACTCTCCTTCGGACAGCGCCTGAACTCGATCTAGCTATGTAGCTCGAAACTTCTGCCACTGTTGGGACTCGAAACCTAAGATTTCCCATTCAGACGCATTATAGTGACAACAACTGATGCGCGGAGCTACCTACGCCTATTTGAACGTCTCGATATGGAGTGGAGGCCCAGAGACGATGTTGAATTGGACATTCGAATGCATAGAGTGACATTCGTTTCATCTTCGGTGCAATCTTGGGATACTTTTGGATTACAACAAAGATAAAAGTAGTCTATTCTATGCATTCGGATATTTAGCTCGACATCGTCTCTATGCCTCCACTCCATGTCGAGTCCTTCAACATAATATTTTGATGAGACTACATTGGATCCTCCAATGCTCAATGGTCCAGAGGCAACTGCTCTGATGGAATTTCGTGATTTTCTACGATGAATTCCAGTCAGATGTCGTAGTAACACCCTACAAAACTTCTCATACCCCATATGGACTTCATTTTACTTTCTCATATGCGTACATGTATACAGAGTAATATACGTTTTTTCTGCGGAAAATCGATTTCGAGATTTCAACGAAAAACACGTTTGGGGTCCCCTGATGACGAAAAAGTGGTGTTTACTTTCTCACCATTATGAAGGAACTTCTTAAGAAGCGAAATTTATGTAATCGTGCTCCAGAAAACGGCGAATTTTCTCCAGAAAAACTTATTGCCGGGATTTGGCACCGGAACTAGTGGTGCTACAACAGAACATACTTTCCCGCAATATTACAATGTTATCGTTGTGTACAACGTGGCCCCTATATGTTTCATTAATTTCAAACGGAGATTACACTAGTTTAACAAAAAAATGTACCTAGTCATTTTTAAAGAGCTAAATTTGTACAACAGACTTTGTCTTCATCTGCGAAGGTTTGAATATTTTTTACAATTTTCGAAAAAAACAACTAGCAATACCCGACAATGGGACTTGCACCACATTCTTACCGTCCCTTTTAACATATGTAGAGAAAATTTAAAGAAAAAATTTAAGAAATTTTTGAGGAAAAAATGCGTAAATTTCAAAACCAAATTACATGAAAACTACTAGTTTTGTTTTCAAAAACATTTACGTGACCATTTTTAAAGAGCCAATTTAGTACAACAGAATTTGTCCGGGGCAAAATTGTATATCTTTAATTTTGTAGTTTTATTTATTTATTTATTTTTACAATTTTCGAAACCCTGAGCGATATTCAAAACTGGACTAGCTCCATATTTTACCGTCTCTTAATCAAGCGCGAATTACGCAAAAGCTAGTCACTTTTTCAAAAAGTGTATATGAACTTTTTTAAAGAGCTATTTTTGTACAACCTACTTTGGGGAAAAATCTTTATCTTGAATGTTGAATGTTGTTAGTTTTAAAAATTGTTTTTTGGAAATTTCTAAAAATCATCAACGAAAATTAGACCTGCACCATTCTCTTAATCATTCCTTCAGAACGTCCAAGTAACGCAAACGTCCAACAACCAAATTTGACCAAAATAATTGGAGCAATACCTTTTTATAAAGTTTGAAAATGTCCGAGGAGTTTCATGTAAAGTATCCACCACAACAAAATATCAGTTTCCAATTACAGGGGCTGTTACATAAGCCAGAACGATTGGAGAATATCAATTTTGGAGAAAATTGGCTCAACGGTTTATGCAGTAGCGTAGTGCACTGACAGATGGGCTTTATTGCATTTATGCGTACATTTGATTAAAATGTTGTCGTATAAAGTTTCTCGAAAACTAAAAGGTTTTCTGTTTTAATAAGCACAAATTTCCGCAATTTTAAAAACACTCAAACGACATTTTTTTCAAAAACGGCTCCACATTTTTTCTCCAAACTGATGGCACTGGTTAAGATGGCACAAAATTTAGCAGTGTGCTTTTTTTTTTCCAAAATTACACAATTGTAATTTTTTTGAAATATCTCTTATGGCCTCAATATGCACATTTCCAGAGATTTGCATACATTATTGCATTTGTGAGTAAAAGTTATTCAAATGACTTCCAATAAAGTTTTTCTAACTCTCAAAGATTTCTATGAAAAAGATTTTTAAATTTCGCATTTACACAAAAGCTTAAAGCTTATTTTCTTAAAAACATATCCAATTTTTTTAACCTAAATTTCTATTTAGATCGGGGTTTAACTCTTCTTTAATATTCTAAAAGTAATATTTCGAATCTACTATTAGGAGTCTGAAAAATATCGAAAATTATTTCAAAAGTAGTTTGCATGGCGATAAATGGCAGTTGCAAATGATTATGGCAAGACGGAGAAGCTACTGCAGGCCAAAGATATTAAAGAGGGAACTCCTAGAAAATCTGCCGCGATTCTCCTTTCCGGACAACAAATTCTATTTGCGTCGACTGTGATTTTCGAGGCACCCAGATAAAACACGAGGCCTTGGATGGAAAATTCTCAGAGGCTCATAATTTCAATAAAAGTGTTTACCCTATCCTATTCATTATTCATACGGCATACATTTCTCCATGTAACTGAAATATCTTGAAGCGGTTGATTTTAATTCGAAGTAAATACATTTTTCTTGGATTTTTAATTTAAAAAACCTCAGGGCCTCAATTAAGTCAGGGCCCTGGCAAGTTGCCCCTCTTTCGGGCACCCTTCGGAGTTTTAGCCCAAGTCATCGGAGGGAGAAGGGCAGTGATCTAACCACATCCAAGGGTCGCCTGGACTATCAATTCTGCGAGTCTGAAAGCCAGTCTGCAAGCCAGTCTGAAA